TCATAACTATTTAACATATAAAGGAGCAATTAAGGCATAGCTCGACTCGCTAAAATGAATAAATTCTCTTTATAACAATACACCGTTGAGCGTTAACCCTGAAGGTTACAAATGGGTATGTGCATGCAAGAGAAATAAGAATAACGAGGTGATAAGATATGAAGCGAGTTTGTAGCCTATGGGTTCACGCAGAGACCCTTAATTGATTTTAATCAAATATACTCTCTCATGGTAAATTGCATTAAGTTCCGCTACATAATATTATTGGCAGAATAATTCTAGATATGCAGCTTATTAAAGTCATGACCTAGAAACTATGGGTTATTAGACACTAATATTTATCTGAAAATCCTTGATGGATTTATAATTCTCAAAAATGAAAGAAAGTAAATATCACAACATGTTTGTTGTTGAAGTACAAATGCTTTACTTTACTTAAAATAGTGAAGCAATTGATTGAGTAATTTCATCTTAAAATAAGGAAATTATAGAAATGAATATGTACCATTAGGTACTTATTAAGGGGCTTATTTATAAAATAAAGGAGATGCAAAATCAAGTATTATATCGACCTGTAGATCGAGTATTTCCTTAAAAGGAATTTCGCATACTATTTAGTCTATGTCCAAATAATCTCCCGCAATAGATAAGAACCATTTTAACCTAAAAGGATGATTCAGGACCAGAAGTCCGATACTTCAAACCATCATTTTGAATACCCTTTTCTTTGAGACCGAAAATTTCCAAATTCGCATTTTCTTTTTGTAATTTGTAAAGAGTGATTTGGTGATTCTCCTAGAAAGAAAAGGAAATGATGTTAATTAATATCCTTAAGGTATAAAATACATCTTTCGAGAAGTCATTTGAATATTGGCATTATGTTAAACGTCATGACTTGGATTGATATATTATAAATCAATTTAAGCTTTAAGCATCTTAAAGCCTAAGGGATAATACTTGTTCTTAATTCTTATAGATGTATTTTGTATATTATCATCTCTTTATTACTTTCTCGCTTTGTCATAGCGACTTTTAAGTTACGAGATGAAATAAGGAATAGCAAATCAAGGTAGAAATATTCATATTGATGCTTTTGACATGAAGTCATCATACTTGGGACAAATAAAAACGTATATAATTTTTCATGGTATAAAATACCTTGATCCAAATGAACTCCAGAAGAGTGATAAAATATTTGTCCAGAAGATTTGCTCCAATGACAAGTTAGCAAATGTATACCTACAAAATATCTATGAGATTGATATGCAAGGGTAAAGAAAATTATTTAGGGGGAGTGACAAAATATAAATAATTTTATTGGTCCAAATGATCATGAGAAAATATGATAAATTCTAACGACAATCCTGAAGATTGTACCATATCCTTTGATAAATTCTAACGACAATCCTGAAGATTGTACCATATCCTTTGATAAATTCTAATGACAATCCTGAAGATTGTACCATATCCCTTCTCTACACCCTTTTGAAATGATGATTTTACTTTAAACAATGTAGAATTTGAAGATTGTTATCTTCAAGGGGAGACGAGAAGTACATTCACTCGAGTCAATCCTGTAGATTGGGTCTTCAAAAGACTAATAGTTGCACTTTTTGCAGCGTGTATATTCACTCGAGTCAATCCTGTAGATTGGTCGGTCAATCCTGTAGATTGGGTCTTTAAAAGACTAATAGTTATACTTTCTGCATCATATACATACCATGTACTCTTTTCCTCACTAGGTTTTTCTCAATGGATTTTTCTAGTGTGGTTTTTAACGAGGTATGAGTATGATATATTAATGGGGGGTTGTATATAAATAACTAAATAGACAAACCTCAAAATCCTGAAGATTATGCCTTGAAGGTAAATACTTAAATAAGACAAATCCCAAAATCCTGAAAATTATGCCTTGAAGGCTTATGATTGTACTCTTTTTCTCTTAACTAAATTTTTCCCACGAGGTTTTCTTAAGTTAAGGTTTTTAACGAGGCAATCAGTACAATATGAGTTTACGAATATTATGTACTCTTTTCTTCAACTAGGTTTTCCACTTTTCCCCACGTGATTTTCCTAGTGAAGTTTTTAACGAGGCATGAATGTATTCAAATATACTAGCCATATACCTTGTACTCTTTTTTCGACTAGTTTTTTCCCACAGGGTTTTTTAGCGAGTTTTTAATGAGGCAGGGTGATGGCAAGATAATGTCCAAGGGGGAGTGTTATAAATATATATTATGTGGACATTATGAACATTCAATACAAAACGGATGTAACGGTCCGGGCATTATTATCATCATTATTGTTTGGTGTTACATATTGTATTTATATATATGTTATATCATTGTATTCGGAAGTTGGTTGGAATGAGAATTATACATTACTTTGTGTCCTTACTTTCCTGCTCTTTGTCTCTTGGTCTCAATTCATCGGTTAGGAGCTAAAGGCCATCGGGCACAAACAACATTATAACATAGGCCTAACTTTATTAATGGAATAATGTCTATATGCAAGATTATACAGAAGATATTCATGCATGAGACTTCAAAGTAAGAGGCAGAAAATCAAGAATACCACATTCATCACCAAGTCATATTAGCAAGTGATTCTGGAAAATATATGCTTTTAAAAAACACCAAGGATGACATACCACAGAATCAACAACAAGCATAGCATTCCAGTTTCACCCGGTGGAGATGAATTGCGCACCAACTGTTTAGTAAAAGCCACATGATTAATTTATTAACTTGAGGTGCATAAAGAAACTTGAAATCATCAGTCCCAAATACCTGTTCTGTTTCACTTCGAAGACCAAGCCCGCGGGTCTCGTCAAATCCTTTATGGACAAATCTCACCTATAACACAAATATACAAACATGAATCATACCAACAGGCCAAGGGAGCCAGGAGGGAGCAGTATTACACTGCAATAAATCTAGAGTCACATTGACACAGAATAAAAAACAAATTGCAAATGCCATTCACCTTTGGATACAAAAGAATATCAAGAAATGTTAAATGTGTGCAAACACACTTAATCGCGTTTAATTTGAACACATTTAATGTGCGTTCGGACACACTTAATCTAATATAGTCCATTAAAAAAATATTAGATAGATGCACACGATTTGTTCTCACGTTCTTACCTAAGCAGATGTTATCTTAAATCTCTCTCTCTCTCTCTCTCTCTATATATATATATATATATATATATATATAATTGCACTCAGGTGCGAATGAAGCTCCCAGGAAAGAATATGCGAACCAATCAGCGCGCGACATGTGTCCAGATCTAATGGATTAAAAAAATGCGGCGGCATTTTCGTAAATATTTGAACATCAAATTGCAAGTAAAATGTATTATAGGTGCAAGTAAAATTTACACTGAGTATCAATACGAAGTGCACCTATAGTTATAAGTAGTTGCATCTGTAGGTATAAGTAGTTGCACCTATAGTTATAAATAGGTGCACCCAGGTGAATGAATGGTTGCGAGAAGTGAATGTTAACAAGACAAAATTACATGCACTTATTAGTGAAAGTAGGTGCACCTATAGTTATAAGTAGGTGCACCCAGGTAAATGAATGGGTGGGGGAAGTGAATGCATGTTAACAAGACAAAATTACATGCATTTATAGGTGAAAGTAGGTGCACCTATAGTTATAAGTAATTGCACATATAATTATAAGTAGTTGCACCTATAGTTATAAGTAGGTGCACCTAGGTGAATGAATGGTTGCGGGAAGTGAATGTTAACAAGGCAAAATTACATGCACTTATAGGTGAAAGTAGGTGCACTTGTAAGTGATTTTACTTGCACTTCGTTGTTCAATTATTTACGAAAATGCCACCGCATTTTTTTTAATCTATTAGATCTGGACACGTGTCGCGCGTTGATTCGTTCGCATATTCTTTCCTGGGCACTTATTCGCACATAAGTGCATCCCTATATATATATATATATATATATATATATATATATATATATATATATATATATATATATATATATATATATCAAAACAGTGCTATTCACAAAAGAATTTTATCAAAAGTATCAAACAATTAAAATTTTGAAGTATTCATTTCTTTTCATTTTCCTACTCATTTTCTGGAAAATGAAACAAACACACAAAGACTGTATTATGTTGTGTAGCCAAACTAGGGGTGTAAATGAGCCGAGCCGTTCGCGAGTCACTCGTGAGCGGTTCGGTCAACGCTCGGCTCGAACTCGGTCAAAATCGAGCTCGGCTCAAGCTCGAGCAGCTCGTGGATTAAACGAGCACGAGCCGAGCTTAGGTATTGTAGGCTCGCCGCTCGACGAGCCGCTCGCGAGCATTATAATATATTATATGATATATAATATATAATATAATTATATTATATTTAGTATATAAAAATAATAATTAGGGGAGGAAAATTAAGATACTTTAATAATTATGTATAGATAAAAGTCATAAAACAAAGTAGTTTAAATTTTAAATCAAACAGGTCAAATTCGAGATCAAAATTGAGCTCAAATTTGAGCCTAAACTCGAGCTTGAATTCGAGCCTGAACTCGAGCTCAAGTTCAGGCTCGAATTCGAGCTCGAGCTCGAGCAGCTCGACAAATGCCGAGCTCGAGCTCGAGCATCAGTTCACGAGCTCGAACGAGCTCGAGCTCGAGCTCGAGCAGTGCTATCATTAACGAGCACGAGCATGAGCCTACCCAGGCTCGGGCTCAGCTCGGCTCGTTTACACCCCTAAGCCAAACACCATAAATGAAAATGTTTTCTAGAAATTAAAATGACTCATTTTCCAGAAAACATTTTCCAGAAGTCATTTTCCGGGTTTCCAAACGCACCCTTAAATGAATTTGAAGTTATATAAACCTACCTACCCTTATAAACTTATAAAGATCAAAGTTAAGAAGTAAAAACTTTAATGGAATAGGAATATATAAGAGATTCAATCTGGCTAGTAGGAAATATACTACACTACTATCCTACTAGTCTTTTGTTCATGCAAGGAACACATGAAGTAGTACTGCAGCCAGCAAGAGTATTCCTGTCATCATCAGTAACCAAATCCCCTTCTTGTTTCCACCGCATGATGTCGGGACTATTCCATTCTCAAGATCACCCAACTTGGGAACCAAGGCTTGTTGACTTGTCACAACTGAAGAACCGTTGCTCAGAGTCGAGTTCAGTAAACTGTCATTCACTTTTGGAGCAGAGGGTTGCATCTGTGGACTAACCGGCGGAGGCTCTAGAAACAGAAACCAAACAACTAACCATGCATTCATTTGGTATAGTGGTAGCTAGTGAGAATAGAAATTAAGAATAAGAAACTGAGATTGTTAGTTTTAGATAGTACTACCTTGGCATTGATTCAATGGAGGTATTGAAATGAAACAGTTGGGCATAGGGAGAACCAGAGAGTTGGTAAGGAGAGGAGTTGTGGATCCTATTAGCTTGCAGATGCAGTAATATCCCACCTGAATTGCTTGGTTAAGGCTTTTACAGCATAATTCTGCAGGGGCTGACATTTGGGTGCCTTGGTTCAAGCATTGTTGGAGATCTATGTCCTGGAAACCACATTCCTCCATTTGGCAGTAGTTTCCTTCAAACAAAGTTGAAGCCAGTAGGGTTGTGATGAAGATCCATGGAAGTCTCCAGGAGGAATTCATCTTCAATTGGACCTCTCAAGTCTCAATAACTTTCAATTTGTCTAGCTTAGTGGATCATAATCTGTATGTTATCATGTATTCAAATGTCATGAGATTTTAGGAGTTGTTTTGAAGCTAGCTTTGAGTATTGCATGCTGGATCTACTCACATCATAAATATGTTGTTTAATTTTCACCTTAGAATTATATATGCATGCATGTTGACCACACTTTTTGGATGATCATCCTCAATTATCATGGAATTTTCCCTGCCCTTTTGTTATTTAATTTCTCCATTCACTATTTCTAAAAGAGTTAATACCACCTTTTTTTTTTCCTTCTATCCCATCCAGTGTAATTATATTACTCAATCATTATTAATTTAACCAAATTTAGTCATTGGACTTTTAGAATTTTCATCAAAATGCACTCAAAACTTGCAGGAGGGTAAAAATTAGTGTTGAACAAATGAGAATATTTCAAATATTTTAAACAAAATTTGATCTATATTTTTTAAAAAATAAATTTGATCTATATTTAGTCACAAAATTTACAAATTAAAAACCTTTTAAGTCATCAAGAATCTTGTTAGGATCACAGGCTTACCACTGATTAAATGATTTGCAGACTTGTTGGAGTCAACAGAGAAATTTGACATACTGATTGACATAGTTGAGTTTTACAGTAAATTCACATTTTACATCAAAACACAATACTTATAATCAACAAATGTAGCTAGCAAGATTAAGTATATCGGAACACAAAAATAGATCCCCAATAAAGAAACTCTAACAACGGTCAACACTAGTTCAACTGAAGTGAAAAATCAAAACAAATCTACTAAAAACAATATGGTATCCCAGCAGTAGAGAAGAGAGAAAAACAGGCGTCTTCGTTATTTCACTACGACCTTGATACTGCTTCTTCACCGCTACAGAGCAGGGTTTGTCAACTATTACAGGGGTCGTACCTGATACTCAACAAAAACATGAATTCACCGAGAAACACATGTAACAAAACTAAACCTTGCAATACAGGCGTATAGCATTCGAGTTGACATACCCTAAGGGTGGTTGTTCGACATCATTATATATAGGATTAAATTAATGGTTTGAATTTTCAGATAGAGATACTCCTGTCATTTAATAATGTACTCTGCTAAAAGATTATAAATTTTATTGAATTTAGTGAAAATGTGCTTTTGAATGCTTCTTATGAGAATATATTGAACATTTTATCTCATTTTTATTTGTTTTTATATATTTTCATTATAATTCTACTATGATAATGTGTAGCTGAGGTCTTTTGTATTTTTCTATTTAAAATATTGAATAAACGGATAAGATTAAAACAAATAAATAATATTAATTAATATATTAAAACATTTCATCTTTAATATATTTCATAACATATTTTAAAATACACAAAAATTACATACAAACTATGATAAAATATTTGTTATTTTCATAAGTTTGCACAACTTTTATACTAATAAAATAAATAACGTGATATAAAATTAATTTATAATTTATTACATTATGTGTCTTCGGTTAATATATTAGGCACATGTACTTAATATATTATGTGTGTGCAGACAACAAATTATGTGTCTTCAATTTATTTACAAGCACATCTTCGTAATATTTTAATTGAATGGTATGAATTGATTTTTTTTAATACTTTTTTTGATTGATTGAATGGTAGGTTTTATTTTTTATTTTTTAATTTTTTTTTATAGCTTTACCCATGTTAAATATATTGTTAAAAGAAAAAGACCATTATACCCATGCTATAAGGAAATATTTTTTTGGCACAAAAATTTTACCGAAAGGATCATTTATGCTAAAAAATTGATACTAATGGACCTATTATGTAAATTTTTAAAGTTGTAAATTAATGCTATTAGTAGTATAATATTCATGGAAACCATAACTTATGATATACGTGTGAAAAACTGGTATCGAGTTGCTCCTCTAAGTGAGATGTGTTAGGCCTCAACCTCAGTTGAGGCAAATAGTCCCTATATGTAGGGTGTCCCCCTTCCTAATTAAAAAAAAAAAAAATAGTGTCTATCATTTTGGACCGCGGTCCACAGTATAATTGGTGCATATTGGCTATGGCCATAAACAGCGATTGAAAAATATATAGGATATCAGTCACTATACATACCGTACTAAAAGAGAGTTTAATTATTTTAACATCAACTATACATCTATATGCATTCTATTGATCGACTTTGACTTTAAATAACATCCAAAGATGAGAAAGAAAGGAAGAGAATAAACCTACATACACTACAAACTAATAACTAAGCCAACTTCCAACTTTTTACTCACTAAATTCGATGCAGACGAACACCTTTCTTTTGTTCTCATGCACACATAACAGCTAACACATCGTTTTTTTTTTTTTTCCCTCAAATACTGCCTACTGAACTAGTGAATTATGCTTCTGATCTAATATGATCTATCTGGTTCACTAAACTGAACCAGTTTACATGACAGAGCAGCTGGATTCATCTTGAACTACTGGGTAATTAGCGTAGTAAGGGTGAGGAATTGCATTATTATGATATGAATTAGGATCATAAGTGAACGTCACGGTTTGTGGTGCCGGCGTCTCCGCCTTCTTCTCCTCCTTTTTCTCGGCGGAGGCGACGCTTAGAAGCTCCGCCTGCCCCAACCTCTTCCTCAGCTGGTTGGCCAGAGCCACCGCGTCCACCTCCCCCACCACCTCTAACTGCCCCTTCTCATCTTGTATACTCGCCGAATCAACTCCTGCATGCAACACAACAAAAAAACTTCCCATTAATTACACCCAAAAATTTAAAGAATATTACTAGCCGCCGGCCGCCTTGCCGGAAAAGGTAAGATTTGGTGGGTACGTACGTACCTGAGAGACTGACGGCGATCTTGAAAGCCTTGGCACGAGCCTTCTGGTCCTTCACAGAGATTCCGATCACTACCTTTTGCTGCAAATTAACAAACCCAAATTAAACCAAACCACACTTTTATTTAACAATTCTACTTAACATATATGAAATATAATAAGATCATATACAGAATAAGAGTATATAAATATATATATATATACCTTGGCCATTTTTTTGTTTGGCAGAACAGAGGATTTAGAGAGAGAAATTTGATTGGGTGATTATTGTTTAAGGAAGCTCTACTAGGAGAATTTGAGGATGGAGATATGGAGTAGTATTATGAGTTATATTTATACCCACCAGGAGGGATTTAAAACGCGAGAAGAAATAGTCAGCCAGTCAGTCAACAGGTTACGTAATCCAGCCAACATATTACGTCAACAAACATTAATTCGTTATATTGGCTCTGTTATTGCGAGACAGAGTATTGTTTATTGATTTAACCACTCCAGCAACCTTAAAATTATTAGTTGGATTCTGTAATTCACATTTCATCGTATGTATTAGGGTTGTAATTGCAAATGTGTGAATTCTTAAATAGGTAAATGAATTTGTAACTACGAAAAGATTAAATAATTTCAAAATTGCTAAGTGATTTATGGTTTGATGATATCACTGTTACTTTTCATTCTCTTAAGTTTAAGGGTAAGGATAAACAGAATAACATATTAAACTAATTAATTAGTTGAGTATTCTCTAGTAGTCTAGTGTATGAATTGGATTAACATAACGTCCACATTTAATTAGTATATGTACATATAACTTTAAATCAATTTTATATATACTTATTATTTTTTTAAAAAAGTTGAATATGTTAGTATCAAATAACTTTCAATTTGGCTAGCTTAGTCATAATCTGTATTTTATCATTATTCAAATGTCATGAGATTTGAGGAGTTGTTTTGAGGGTAGCTTTGAGCATTGCATGCTGGATCTACTCACATCACAAATATGTTGTTTAACTTAATTCACCTTAGAATTATATATGCATGCATGTTGGCCACACTTTTTGGATGATCATTCTCAATTATCATGGAATTTTCCCTGCCTTTTTATTATTTAATTTCTCCATTAACTATTTCTAAAACAGTTAATACCACCCTTTTTTTTTCCTTCTATCCGATCCAGTGTAATTATATTACTCAATCATTATTAATTTAACCAAATTTAGTCATTGGACCTTTTGAATTTTCAAAATGCACTCAACACTTGCAGGAAAGTAAAAATGTCGAACAAATGAGAATATTTCAAATATTTTAAACAAAACTTGATCTATATTTAGTCACAAAATTTACAATCATGCATCAATCTCAAGGAAGACCAATTAAGGGAACTTTGGGATCGACAAATTTATCAACATACCACCGAAGTGTTCTTTCTAAGAGTAGGCGTGGAGAGCTTTTTGCGGGGAAACTTTTTATATATTATCTTGTATTCATATACTTAAACTTAAACTTTATTACAATCGGGTGACATTCTAGTTTATTTTAATTAATTACGGTGGTCGTTGTTACTTGTTAGTGGTGGGACAACGACCACCGTAATTAATTAAAATAAACTAGAATGTCACCCGATTGTAATAAAGTTTAAGTTTAAGTATATGAATACAAGATAATATATAAGAGATTGATTATAATTGTTATTAAAATAAATATTTGTAATTTTGTAAAAATGCTAGTCTAAAAATGATAGTATAAATAAATATTACTTTCGGTTTGAATTTCTCTAAGTCTTCGTAATTCTTTTTTGAGTAACATTATCATTATCTTCATCTTTAGTACTTGTCATCTTTTTTTTTTTTTAATTTATTTATTTGTAATGTGTCATGTGCAATTGTGTTACTTGTGGTAGCATAGAGGACAATGCCATGCAATGGGATTATAATGTAAGTTGTGGATTTGCCTTGTTGTGTATATGACTAGAATCGTAGTTGTACTATATATGAACTCTTGATCTTGCAAGCGCATGTTGATATTTGAGTGGTAGTTTTTTGCCCCTACATGTTTCATGTGTTGTAAAATGTGTGTCATAGATTCTCATGTGGACGTATTGAACAAAATATTAATATTTATTATATTTGTAGAAGTTCCATGAGTAGTATGATACCTCTTGATCTAGTTTCATAGCTTGTTTACTTGATAGTAACAACAATGACTCTGATCTGCAAGTAGTCCGAATATTGATGCTGCAATGGGTCCAGTTCATCATCAACAATTTCCACATACATCCATTTTACACATGTTCATTTTGAAGTTCATATTTTTGGAATTAATATGAATGAGTGTAGTACTTGATTTTATGTGTGTGCGTGTGTGTGTTTTGTAAATTTTATTTTTTGTTGAATTGATGCTAACTTTGGAGTACTCACTGCTTCCTTTTTCACCACAATGCAGGCAGTTAAATAGTTTGTCACTTTGTACATAAACCTTTTTTAAACAGTGACTACATCTTATATACTAAGTGTTTTTGTTGTCAAAGGTTGATGTCAATTTGCATTTAATCCAAGCAGGTTGAATATAGAAAAAGAATTGAATTATAAATATATATTAGTTCTAATATATTTAAAAATGCACAATAAATATTTTACATACTTGATAAATGAATGCTGTAACGGTGTTTCATCGAATGCTTTCAAATTTCAATCTACCATTCCTTCTCTTTTATCTGCAATTAAAGTTAATATAAATTGCATGCATTACTTTTTAGCATTTCTTTGGCATTGATTCTCTGTTTTATGTTCAAATTCTAATTTATTAGATGGCGGACGATCCTTAGAATTTATTGACAATTTGAGTAAAAGACAATTTTGGTTTTAGACTTATAGTGACACGAACAATTTTAGTCCTCCATACAAAAATCAGACAATTTATAAACACTCTGACCAGGACAATTTTGGTCTTCCGTCTATATTTTCGTTAGGTGACCGTCTTGAGAGGAAGGCAATTGCGTCAATATCCTATCTTCTTCTCCAACCTTCCAGCCTGAAACATCTTGGGTGTTCATCAGCCAGCCAGGAATGAGCTTCCCCAGCTCCTGCGTCTTCTCCGCGATCTTCCTCCTCCCCCTCTCCCTCAAGTCGACAAGAATCAGTGTTGTTCTTCTAACAACATGAGGGATGTGGACGCTATGCAAGAACATGGGCACCCAAGTTCCTTATCCAGTTGAAGTCCTAACCGTCTCTTTGCTAGAAACACTAGGAGAGCTGATGGTGTAAATTAAATACCGAGAGAGAGTGGATGATGATGAGTACTTTAGTGGGCCAATAATTTCCAGTAAATTGCATGAGCTTCGGGGGATGGAAGTACCAATGAGAGAAGTATACTAAGAGACGGGGCGCTCGTTTTTTCCGACTTATAGCAATGACACTGAAAATTTAATTTCGTTTCCATCCAGATGAAGGACCTAGGAATTTTGGGTGCTCTCCAGAGGAAGATGCGGCCATGGAAAGAACCAACACAAGAGAAAGGGAATTTGATGCACGCATAACAACTGGACCTGGGATTGCAGCTAGCCAGCTAGGAGAATGCGAAACATTGAAGAGCAAGAAGGAAACTATCGATCCCGACCACAACTTTGGCATGGTGATGGGTTTAATGATGCCTCTAGATTATATTGAAAAGAAGAAGATTTTGACTTATTGCCCCATGATGTTTTTCTAGATACTACATTGGTTCAATGGCGAGGATTTTTATTGGACCAGAAATGAATGTCAAAGCATTAATGAGAGCAAGATGGGACCTATTCACATAGTGAGCAGCAATGGCACAATGACGATTCATGTTTCTTTTTGATTTCATGCAGTTCAAAACTCATGTTCTTATAAACTTCTTTTGTGGGTAAATATTTTGAACTGCATGTGACTAGATGTTTCAGACGGGAAGGTTGGAGAAGAAGATAGGGTCAATTGAAGCAATTGTCCTCCTCTCATACGACCACCTAACGAAAATATAGACGGAGGACTAAAATTGTCATCGTCACAATAAAAGTGTCCATAAATTCAGTGGCGGAGCCACAATGGGGACAGTGGGGTCAGCTGCCCCCACTCAGCTCTTCCCAGTAATATATATTCATATGTAAAGATGACAATGTAATTTAGCAGCTTAGTTGGTTAAACTTTAGCTATGATATATGAAATGGCATGGGTTAAAATTACACCAATAACACTTTAGTATATTTTAGTTTTAGTTCTACCCATCCTTTTTTGTGAATCATTTAGCTAATGTAGTCCACACTATTTTGCTATAAATATTTTTATAACATTTTTGTGAAACACTTTAGTATATTTTAGTTCTACCCACCCTTTTTGTGAATCATTTAGCTAATGTAGTCCACAATATTTTGCTATAAATATTTTTATAACATTTCAAAGTGTTTTAAAATTTTACCTAACCCAAGTACAGTTTTGGCTTCATTCCTAACTATCATATAGTCTATCATAAACATTTTATTATAATTTATTAATGTATTTGAACCGTATTATAGGTGTTTGCTATTTATGCCCCTACTCATGTAATTTTCTGGATCCGCCACTGCATAAATTGTCTAATTTTGTTATGAAGGACTAAAATTGTCCGTACCACTATAAATCTATGACCAAAATCTTTTACTCGAATTTTTAATGACATAATGCACTTTGAATGAAAAAGATGAAATAATGAGTTACTTGATGAAATTAATGGTTCGAATTATCAAGATAGAGATACAAACAAGTCCTGCTATTTAATAATGTCTACGCTAAAAGATTCTAATTTTTATTGAATTAAGTCAAAATGTTATGTATTGAACCATTTTTTCATTTATATATATTTTTATACTAATTCTAATATGATAATAATATGTAGTTGAGGTCTTTGAGATATACTATACATCAATATAACAATATGTATCTTTTATCACTTATATATGAAAGGGAAAATTATAAAATGTCCACTATTTTATGCACTCCTTTCTTTTCGTCTAAAACCCCATTCTTATATAATATATATATATAAAAGGAAAGTATTTTTCTATTTAAAATATTTACTGAATGGATAAGATTAAAACAAATAGATAATATTATACAATATATTAAAGGATTCCATCTTTAATATATTTCATAACATATTTTAAAATATACAAGAATTGAATACAAACTATGATAAAATATTTGTTATTTGTATAAGTTTGCACAATTTTTATACTAATAAAATAAAATTAATTTATAATTTATTACATTATGTGTCTGCAGTTAATATATTAGCCATACGTACTTAACATATTATGTGTCTTCAATTTATTTACAGGCACACAATATGTTAATTGAATTTTTTTTAGTTTGTTTGATGGATTGAATGGTTGGTTTTATTATTTTTTTCTATAGGTTTACTTTTAAATTTTAGTTTTTTAATATATATATATATATATATATATATATATATATATATATATATATATATATACACACACGCACGTACCAATATATGTGACCGGGTACTAGATTAGCATTATAGATATATTATTTATTTATTGTAAAAACAAAATATAAATTATATAAAAATTATTTATATTATTAATAAAAAATAAAATTTTGTTCATCTCTATAATTTTCAAATACGATAATTAAAATTTACTACTTTATGGAATTGCGAAATATAATTTGAACTATAATTTGTAATTATTTGTATTTATCAATTTTTTTAATGTTGGACATAAATTTTCGTGCATCACGCGTACAAAATGCTAGTATTATATATAAATATTATAATAATTAATAATTTTAACTCCTCAAGTCCTCAAATCTCAACTCCAAGTTTTAAGTCCCAACATTTGGTGTTTTAATAATTTTTATTTTTCAAATATTAATTTATAGATGAATGATTCTTCATCTTGTCATCAACAAAACACTTCAAGTAACACTCCAAGTGAGCCAACTGAACAATCGGTCAGGCAAAAAAAGAAACGTTCAAATAGTAGACTTTCATCAAAACCGAACTGAAACGAAACCGAACTTTTCAAACCGAAACCGAACTCTATTTTAAACCGAATGGTTTAATTTTTTTAAAATCGAAAAACCGAAACCGAAAAAAACCGAACCGAAACCCGAAGTGCCCAGCCCTAGGTGCAACTACTTATAACTATAGGTGCACTTAGTATTGATGCTCAGTGTAAATTTTACATGCACCTATAATACATTTTACATGCACTTGTAATACATTTTACTTGCACTTCGATGTTCAATTATTTACGAAAATGCACCGCATTTTTAAAAAAAATCAGTGTTTCACATCCATTAGATCTGGACACGTGGACGGATATAAGGCATTTGCATATTCACACCAGAGTGCAATTATATATATATATATATATATATATATATATATATATATATATATATATATATATATATATATATATATATATATATATATATATAGGTTTAGCGGGTTTCATGTATGTTGTGTCGATAAGACTCGAAACCTATTAACAAAACATGTCTATCGTGTCAACTCATTTATAAATTGTGTTCGTGTAATCATGTTAATAATTTCAACCCGTTAATTGGAGATTTCATTGGAAGGACTATTTGCACTAACAAAATTGATACTCGTGGACTAATTATGAATGTTGTAGATCAACATTGTTAGTGCCGCAATATTCGTAGGACCAAAAATGGAAAAAAAAAAATGGTAAAAGAAAAAGACCATCATACCCTTACTATAACGAACTAATTTTTTTGGTATCGAAATTTTACTAAAGGACCATTCAAGCTAAGAAATTGATACAAATGGACCTATTATGTAAATTTTAAAAATTGTAGATCGATATTATTAATCAATAGCGTAACATTCAGTGGGACCATAAGTGTAAAAAACTCATGATATAATTGGTTTGAAGTTTTGAGTCCTGCACGCGCAAGCCCTGAGCCCATCTGAGCTATGGCCATAAACAGCGATTAAAATATATACTCCGTATATAGGATGTCAGTCACGATACATACTGTGTTAAAGGAGAGGGAGAGAGAGATTGATAGTTTAATTATTTTAACATCATATATATATGCATTCTATTGATTGATTTTGACTTTAAACAACATCCAAAGATGAGAAAGGAAGAGAATAAACCTACACTACAAGCTAATCACTAAGCCAACCCCCAACTTTTTAATCACTAAATTCGATCTAGACAAACACCTTTCTTTTGTTCTTATGCACACATGACAACTACACACAATTTTTCTTTTTTCAAATACTATCTACTAAACCAGTAACCTAAGTCTCCTATGGGCAGATGATGGATTTCATCATCTGATCTGATCTATCTCGATCACTTCAATTCATTGGCGTCGGCCAGTTTACATGACAGAGCACCCGGGTTCATTTTGAACTACTGGGTAAGCGTAGTAAGGGTGAGGAATTGCATTATGATACTCCCTCCGTCCCGAAATGGTTGTCTCATTTGCTTTTTACACGCTTTTTAAGGAATTAAAGTAAATGTTATGTCATTTCCCAATTATGCCCTTCACTTTTCTTACTTTTGGAAATAAAAGCAAAAGTCATAAGGGTAAATTGGAAAAGTAGAATGATGTTGATGTTCAATTTTGGAAAGAGGACAACATTTTGGGACAAACTAAAAAGGAAAGTAAGACATGGAAAATGGGACGGAGGGAGTATAAATTAGGATGATAAGTGAACGTCACGGTTTGTGGTGCCGGCGTCTCCGCCTTCTTCTCCTCCTTTTTCTCGGCGGAGGCGACGCTTAGAAGCTCCGCCTGCCCCAACCTCTTCCTCAGCTGGTTAGCCAGAGCCACCGCGTCCACCTCCCCCACCACCTCTAACTGCCCCTTCTCATCTTGTATACACGCCGAATCAACTCCTGAGAGGCTTACGGCAATCTTGAAAGCCTTGGCACGAGCCTTCTGGTCCTTCACAGAGATGCCGATCACTACCTTTTGCTGCAAATTAACAAACCCAAATTAAACCAAACCACACTTTTATTTAACAATTCTACTTAACATAAATATAATAAGATCATATACGGAGTATATAAATATATATATACCTTGGCCATTTTTTTTGTTTGGCAGAACAGAGGATTTAGATTTTAGAGAGAGAAATTTGATAGGGTGATTAAGGAAGCTCTACTAGGAGAATTTGAGGATGGAGATATGGAGTTGCTAGTATTATGAGTTATATTTATACCCACCAGGAGCATGAGGGATAGAAAACTCGAGAAGAAATAGTCAGCTAGTCAGTCAACAGGCTACGTAATCCAGCCAACATATTACGTCAACAAACTTTAATTCGTTATATTGGCTCTGTTATTGCGAGACAGAGTATTGTTTATTGATTTAACCACCCAACAACCTTAAAATTATTAGTTGGATTCTCTATTCACATTTCATCGTATGTACTAGAGTTGTTATTGTTGATCAATTTTATTAGAATTGGGTCCACCATAAAAGATATAAAATGGGTGTAGGGAAATTGTAGTGACATCAATTCAAAACCGTTAGGAGTCAAATCCTGATATGCTAGAAAAAGAGAGAATATTCAAACCACTCAGCCAGAAGAGATTTGGTGAGCTAAGGGATGATTTCTAAGGAAGGGAATGCATCCTATTTATATTGTTGAAGGATTTACATATGATTGGCAAACGGACGACATCATGCAACCTTCATTTTTTGTCACACATGTGTCCCATACTATTTTGCTTCCAAGACACTCTCATACATGCATAAGTGGAGCTTCCTGCACTTTAATGTATAAAATCTTGAGTGGCTTGGTGGTTGGAAACTTGTGTTGTTATATACTTGAGGGTGTGGGTTCAAACCTCATGGTAGTCCATTTAATTGACACCTCGCTTAGATCAAGACCTTGAGACTCGTTAAAAAGTCTCTTATAGATTATACCGTACCAAAAACAAAAAAAAAATAATCATTCTTTTCATAACTAAATATTTTAAGAAAAATTACACTTTCCATTCTCAAGTTTAGGAGTGAAGATAAGCAGAATAACATATTAAACTAATATAATCAGAACTGGATTAACATAACGTCAACATTTAATTAATATATGTACACATAACTTTTAAGTCAATAATTTTATATATACTTATTATATAAGAAAAAATGTTGAATATGAACACTTACAAGTACCAAATATTTATGATAATGTACGATGATCATATGTGTTTGGGTTGAAAGTGGTGTGTAAGCCTTACCCCTACGGCCATACCCCTATGTGGTGATTGTGGTGTGTATATAATGTCGAAATCCATCCAAATGTAAGTAGAAGGTCAAAATGAAGCACTTGACCAAGTCTTCCCGGCAGTGAGTTTGAAAGAAGAACATGAATGACCATCTCCGGTAGATGGATGGCATCCCCTACTCGTAGGGAAGAATGCACAAATCAATGGCGCAATTTCGGCCACATAATTACATTAGAGTCATTACTACAAAACTAACCACATCATTCGAAGAAACTTTTTTTTTTTTTTTAATTTTACTTTTTTTTAAAAAAAGAGAGAATAAATTTCATTTTCAATCATTTACTATTTTGATATTGTAAATTTAATCTTACTCTTTTAATTTTGACACATTACATCTGTAAGGCATAATAATGACTATGTTTGTCAACTTGTGGTCCCGTTAAAGTTGTTGCAGCTCGGGGTCACACTAGTGTAGCGGGAGCCCCAGGAATGGTAAGAAAGCGATCTCGCCATTGTTAAGTGTTGGGTTTTTAAGAGATGTTGATTAAAGAGCATGTTCGAGCTTGTATATACTTTATTAAACTCTTGATAAAAGCACCAATGATGAAATTAATTGACCTGGGCGATCCTAATCAACTAAGCCTGAATCGAAAACAAGGATAAAAATAGTAAAGGCAATGAAATGATAAAGACAAATAGCTTGTAATGAGATTCTTTGGATTGATGGTTGTGTATTACAAGATTGTGTAGTGAAAAGAATATGATTTTGTCTATGCTAAAACAATGCTAATTAGACGAGGCTTGGCCAAAGCCACTAAAAAACTCTTAAAAATGAGGCAGGCCTTGAGACCAAGTCAAAGCTCAATTGATTTGGGCAAGGAAACGGACCTTGTGGGTTGCTCGTGATTGCCGACCATGAGTGACCTTCGCCCCTTGCTCGGGGCTTGTTTTTTGATCATCTATACTCCGCTTAACCCTTTGCATCTTGCAGAGTCGACCTCTGATATTATGTGTTTGTTCAATATAATGAGTCATATACGCTTTGAGCCTCTTCTTAAACCGGTTTTGATATATCCATTATTATTAATCTATATTTAGTTAATTTTATTTAGTTTTAACACACACATATATGTATCTATTTCTAATTAATTTATTGATCATAAACTAAATAATGGACACAAAAACAATTGGCACGTGCATTAATATTCGAATTATTACTTTTACAAATTAAAAAAAAAAAAAAAAAAAAAGAAGACAAATATGTTCATATCCTTAACCACATGTTCAAGGAATTAAAAAAAAAAAAAAAAAAAAAAAAGATAAAATAGGTTCTCTATAATTAGAGTCTTTAACTTTAACAAATTATAATTAAATCATTCGAAACTCCGTAAAGCTATCCATCTAAGTCATATTTATCAATAACCAACAAGTTACTGATAAAGTTATGATGACTTGACATGATTTTTGTTTACATGTGTTTTTTATTTTTATTTTAAATTTAATAACATATAATTGAGCTTAGTTTTTTTCATATTTGTCACCATCTCCGCCCAACCATCGTTGATGGTCGTTAGCCACTGCCAACTGCCTGTTGGAAAATAGTAGTAAAATGGCATTTTAAGTGGCTATTTTGTGGTACAATTATTAGTAGGGTCCACTTTCGATTTGGGTCGGGTCAAAGTGAATTCAGGTTCTTCGTAATGAGATGAAGAGATTGATATATTGTACGCTCAAAACAGATAATGAATGAATGAGAAATTGATACTTTCTACAAAAAATATCTTCATGATGCTTCCTGAGAGTTGCTATTTATGTCAGTTTCAAACAATTATGAAATTGAAGTCATGATAAACAAAAGTTGATTAATATTTGCATACAATTTTTATAATCTAGGGACACCAATTACTTGGTTGCTCTGATACCAAATGAACTGGACAAACTCTGATACCAACAATTAGTGTTAGATTGCTTTAAGCATATAATTGTTGTCATCAATAGGTCAAGTATATATGATTGTGAATAATGCTACTATTATTGTATTTGTACTTTGTCTAATCACTTCTTGACATGTGGTAATCACGTGACACGGGTAATTAAAAGTTAACAAGTAAAAAAGTTAAAAATGACTTAGATGTACAATTTTATCGTGTTTGAGTACTTAATTAAATCTTTAAATTTGTTAAATACATTTAGAAAGGAGCAAAGATTGAAATTACAATTTCTTATTTTTTAAATTTATATTTATCATATGTATTCAATGATTCAATTCGATTAATAACGGGTTAAAATATAAAATAAATGGCTAGTATTTTTAAAATAATCAAAATCAAATATATTAATTTCAGTGAACTCTTATATTTATAATAAAAATCAAATAACGATTATATTGAGGGCCTAAATAAGCATGTTGAGTTTATATGAGCTTACACGTATGATGATATTTATTTGAATAAGTTAGTCCCACCAAAGAATAGGATACTTGGTTAATTGGGCATGCTACTAGCTCTATTACATTGTAGTATCTGTTCATATACTTTCTCAACCTACTGAAACACAAAGAGCCAATAACGCCTCCACTGAGGCTCGAACTTACAACCTTCCAAATGGAAGTCCAACCCGGATACCATTAGACCACATAGTCCTGGTAATTTAGTATTTATAAATATTAAGGTTTAGATTTATGTACACATAAAATAAATATTATAAATATAGTATATGATGATTATTACTAAACATAATCTGTTTGTAGTATAATGTTTATGTATATTAAATTTTGTTTTTATATGAACATATAAAATTGAACATTAGGAATCTACTATAAAGCGAATATTATAAATACATATGATAAACATTTAGGTCCTGTTTGGTAAAATGGATGTTAGCTGTTACGTGATTGTGTTAATTAGAGAGTATAAATAGTTGATAGCATTAGCTGATTGTAGAAAAGTGTTTGGTAAATTAGCTGTTAACTGATAGTTATTTGATATAATTTCTTTTCTTAAAAAGCTAATTAAAAAAGTTGTTTGGAGTAGCTTTTTGAATTTTAGCCTTTTAGAGTTGCAAAAAGTTAATTAACCAAACATTTATGTTGGCCTTGTTTGGTAAAATGACTGTTAGCTATTAGCTGATTGTGTTAATTAGAAGGTATAAATAGTTAGGTTGAGAAAGTATATGGACAGATACTACATCGTAATAGAGCCAGTAGCATTCAAAAAAAAATAGTTGATAACATTAGCTGATTGTAGAAAATTGTTTGGTAAATTAGTTGTTAGCTGATAGCTGTTTGGTATAATTTCTTTTCTCAAAAAGCTAATTAAAAAAATGCTTGGAGTCGCTTTTTTAATTTTAACTTTTAGAGTTGCAAAAAGCCAATTAACCAAACATTTATATTGATATTTTAACTAAATTAAACAAGTAATAGTGGTCAAAATTGACCTATAAGCCAATTTTTTACCAAACAGGACCATTGATATTTTAACTAAATCAAACAATCAATAATAGCCAAATAAGCCAAAATTGATTTATAGGTCAATTTTTACCAAATAGGGCTTTAGTTTAGTGTTTAGTGATGTCAAAGGTTTATGTTTGTAAACATAAAAACAAATATTATAAATATAATACATGATAAATAATATTAAATACGATGCAATAATTAACATTTAGTGAAATAAAATCATTTTGGACCAAAATTCACTCTACAATGTAAGTCCAATACACGATATAATTTGCCAATAAATATTGTATGGAAGACTTTGGACTTTTGAGTCGTTAGTGGGCCAAGTGTACAGTAAGTCAAGTCGGTGTGAAACCGCGGTGATTTAGGTTGAAGATTATATTGTGGGGCCATCCTAAATAATTGAAACGTGTTCTTCGCGTTGCCCGTTCGATTAATCAACCTTGGCACCTTGCTATTTAATTCCTAACCCCATTAGAAGACTTTGTGTTTTGTT